AAAAAAAAAACACTCTGGGGAGTTCGGTTTCCGGATACCATTGCCGTACACCTACCGGTTTTAATTTTTTTAATCTGTGCCGAAAGTAAGTAGGATAAGAGAAGACTAATTTGGAAAGGTACCTGATACATTCCATATTCCAAGGTTGCCAATGGAGAACACTTTAAGAAACCCACTTGTCGGGACAATATTAAAGATAGATCCTAAATCTAGCGATTCTTGTCAATCAATAGGAAAAAAGAGAAGACGATAACGTTTTGGTGACGGAGAAAATACAGTGTAGACGCTGCTAATCTGAAAAGCTAATCTGGAACAAGTCGGAATCAGTCACTTACGATAAATGGAAAAAAGGCAGACGGTCTTATTATTTTCCGCTCCTAATCAGTTGTAAATAGGACGTATAACTTTAGCCTTCGATTCTCAATTATGAGATTTAAATACTAACTTTTATCATGAACTTCGAGCTATGTAACTAAATAGGAAAACTTGGCAGGAATATTTTTACAGATGCTACGTGGCCTCAGTGGAGGGGTTTAAGAGCAGGCTTAATAACTTCACCTTAGGTCTTCACAAAATCCCTGTCATCACTCTTTTCCTAAATTGTTTGCGCCCCGAAATGATCGAGTTTTTGACCTGGCTGATCACCTTTCCTTCTGATATTCTTGCTAGATAGCATTTTAAATGTTAGTTGAAAAATTACTTTCAATTTATTGAAGCTTAACTTTTTGAGCAGCCTGTTACCGGTGTCTGTGAACAAAATTCAGTGTATTATGACCACTATTAAAAGCACATAATAAAATGAGGTTCCGACAGTTAGTTCCAAGTAAGTCACATATAACAATCCGTAAATAGTCGTATAACATGCTTGCCTTTAACGTTTATGTTGCCGAAACCTGGAGGTTTTATTTTCATAAGGCAGAGGCACTAAAACTTGTTGAATAAGAAGGCTGACACGCTAACATCAGAATAAAGAAATTCAATAACTTCTATGCTATAGATGGCTGCAATCTACAACTCATTACCAAATTGCTCAATATGATTGCAAGATTCATTCACCATCCCAAATATCTTTACTTTCTGTAACACCTTGAATTTAGTGCAAGGTTGTCAGAATCGGTGAGGATCAAATAAAAAGTGGCTAACCCTCAAGGCTTTTGCTGGATATCAGAGGACCTGGACTTGCCGAACTGGTTTCTAGTCCTTTAGAAGAATTTATGTTCAAGTAAACAAAAATAGGAAACACCAGGCAAATTTGAATGTTTTCTTTTGGTGAAACGAACTTGCCTCATTATAAAGACGGTGGAGATCGTCACGCTCTTTGGTAAGACTTTGAACATTGGTTTGGATCTGAAAAGCAAAATACGTTTTATGGCCTTTGTGAGGTCGCACTACCTTTTAGAGAAGGAGAAGGGTAAGATAAATGCGAAATGAAATACTGCTATTAACATTCTGATTTGTAAACCTTTGAGAATTGTTTACCTTGTTTGGATAGTTCACTTCTTATTAGTATGGTCCGAATAATACTTGCACACGCGAGAGGAACGGGTACGTAAATCACGTAAAGTGGTCGTTTGTAAAAATGAATTTCCAAAGAGACTGCACTTTTAATTACTAGAACAAATACTTCAGGTGGACTTTTATGCCTTATGTATGAGATTTAATAATGAAAAAATCTGAAGTACAGAAAATGCAATCACGATGCATATACCTCTTGGACCCTTGTTTCTAATCGATTAAGCATGAGCTGCAATTCATCTCGTTCCAGCCGGAGCTTTTGGTTCTCGTGAGATTCTTCGCATGACTAGAAATGTTTAGAAAAAAACATAAAATAGAATCAATAAATGTCTTAAGTCATAAATTAATCGAAAATTGTTCAGATATTATGGAAACATAATCTACAGTTCAAATGTTTAAAGTGATAAATGCGGGTGTCGCTCATCACTCCCTTCAAACAAATCTAAAAAATACTTCATAAAAAAGAGTCAAACAGTAGTTAATTGTAATAAGATACTTCCAGTTTTTCATTCTCTATCTTCTTGTGTTCCTGGGTGATTCGAAAGTACCAAAGAAGTTGAGTAAATTGGTCGATTAAAAAATAGACGGGGTGTTGTATTGTTTCGGAATGCGAATTCATACTCGTTTTTCCCACAGTTAAAGCATTTTAACTGTCCGGGGATAACATTTCTTACAAGGATTACCAGGTGGACTCCTTTTTTCTTCACACTTTTGCACTTAAAATATTATAAAGTAGGCAGTTAATATGATTACCATCATCGGATGATCCATTGACGTTGCGAAAATGTGCCTTTATCATACATTCGGCGGGACTCTTGCTGACCCAAAATGCAATATAAGGATTTTCAGAAGACAAATCCGCCTGCCCTAAAACCTTTTATTTGGCATAAATATAGGATCAAACATTAGCCTCAAGCAAAACGCGGCTAATACTGCAAGGAGTGAAAGTAAACAATAGATCCCGCTTAGGCAATGAGGCAGAACAGCATTCATCTAGAGTCTGGCATCGACCAACCTTCATAGGCTTGAAAGGTAATCACTGTGAACATTTTAGGAGCTTTCATAATACGCGTCCGAGACCTACGGCTTCCCAATGCTGACAGCAAAAATCAAAGTTCCATGAAGTAGGTGAAAAACTCCTGGTAGTCTTTTGCACACACCTAGAAGTATTTACCACCATTTTATATTGTCACGCACTGCTTACGGAGCCGCACTTCCTTTAAAATGCGGCAACTTGTAAGGAATTAGCTGTAGGCTTAAAATAATTGGTTGATGTTTATCAGGGCGCAGCTTAAGCGCCTAGTTACCGCGAACTGCGTTATGCAAAACGATATTTAATGACTCCTATGTCTGTTAGCCACGTCTATATAAAACGCAAGTCCAGATAAATCTAGTTTTACCTTACAGAGTCTGGACACAATTTTGTTTGCAACCACGACACCATTTTTGGCAAGTGAGTTTGCCGTTTGTTTACCAGCCTACTAACTTGGGGAATGGACTAAGCAGTCAACTAAGTTCATTGAGATATCTATTGAGCCGGAAGTGAGAAAATTTCCGGTAGTCTACTCTGTACTTGCAGCAAGAATATGCAACGAGGAAACTGACTTTACGACAGAGTGCTTTATTCGTCCTCACAGGCGCCGTCCGGTTCAAAAATGTCCAAAACTAAATGGTGCGTTAGACTGAGAATGAGACAAATACTTCTGAGTTACAGCTTTCTGTCCAGTAGGTATTCAGCGGACATTGTGATTATAAGTTTCGTTTGGTCAAACAGTTCAAATGTGAGAGCTGATGCTTTAGAACCTATTGATCTAATTGTTTGAAAAATGCCTTGAAATTACACCATAACATAGGTCCTTGCTTGTTGAGTCAATAATTAAAACTATAAAAATCAGGAGAGTCCGGAAGCCAGTAAAACCGCCATGTACAAACATCGAACAAAAATTCAAAATACACACAGGCCAAGAAAATAGACATTTATCGTAATTGTTTAAAAGATGATTAGATAAAGTGAAAACAAAATTTGCAAATGGACTTTTTACATTATAGCACGCTTTAGACTGTTGTATTGCGACCATTCTACCTCGAAGAAGTTACTCCACATTTAAACCTCCCACCAGCCTTACGTTTTAATGGGGGGAAGGGTTAACAGATTTGAATAACCCCTTCGACCCATTTTAAGCCTTCTTCTTGATGTTGTGGGTTTGAAGTCTGTCGAGGCCACTGAGTTTTCTACGACTGGCTCAAAGGAAAACACGGTTTTCTCGCTGGGCATTTTCAAAATTTTGTTATGGTAACTTTGGAAAATGGCAACTATATAAGTTTCCTCGTTACAATATCCGGCAACATTAGTTTATATAGTGCACCTCATTATTTCCTAGACTTAAAATTTTTTCCTACGAAGATGGTGGTCATAGGGTTTTATGGATGGGGAGTAAGGATATGCAGTGGAATATACTTTAACAACCGCTATAGGCATTTTTATTTTATGTTATTTAGAAATGTTGTTTATTTATATCTGTAGATTTTCCTAATCTGTACTAATATTTAATGTCTTGCGGAAAAACTTGCTTATCAAATTGCAGGTTTCTTGAAATTCCTGAAACAGAAATAGGGGTTAGAAGGTTGTCTACTTCAACTTACCTGAGGTCCAACTCCCCGCTCTGGAGTTAAAGTAATATAGTCGGCGGCACGCAGCGCCATGCACACCTTCAATTTATTTGCGGAACAACTTACTCCCAGTGACCGAGGGAAAGAAATTCGACTACATTTTTCACTATGCACTTGCTACTAAAAATTCACTTTCTCACCTACCCTATTTGCCCCACCGCAACCAGCGTTTCCGTTGGAAAAAATTCTGGGACTACGGGTATATGAGGTGCGATACGTAAAATAATTTTGCCCAAGATCCTTTTGTTCTAAGAAAAAAGGAATTAAACGCATCCAACTCCAATCTGTAATAGCAGCAAGTGGACCAACACAGGTCCACAAAGGGGGGCATTTAATGCTTTCATACACTGCGTACGCTTCGGAAAAATAAAAAAAGACGACAAACCTTCATGCGGTTCAGGCTTTGAGCTCGAGGTAGTCCTGCCGATTGATGGTCAGCGAGATGTCGCTGACTGGCAAGGTAACTTTTTAGGGCATCTCGTTCCGCCCTAAGCTCTTTTATTTCCTCCTCTAT